GGACAAACATTTAACTTGTTTGAGATTCATGGGCTATAAGTAAATGTTGCATTATGCAACTATATTATATTACATTTTTTTTAATTTATTAAATGCTCTTATATTCTTTATAATTTAAAAAAAGTGTATAAAATATGCTTTAAAAGTGTTATTACAAACGGATTGAGCCATGGTATTACGAGAAAATGTAGGCCAGATTCAGTGCTCAAGCCAGGCCTTGGTTTCAACCTCAAATTGCAGTTGTTCTTTATTAAAGGACAGTACTAACAGTATTTATGAGTGAGCAATAAAATCACAGAGAACTGTTTACAGCAGTTGACTGCATGTACTTCCTAAACACTGGGCCAGTAATAGTCCAGTAGGGATGGGCGATATGGGCTTAAAAATATATCACGATAATTTCTGATATTTATTGCGATAACGATATCAATGACGATAATTTAGGGAATCCTGTTTCTTTAGAGCAGTGGGTCTGACTTTAGGTGTTATTTATTTATTTGCTACATAAAACATCTGCACGAAACAAAAACAGCAGGTCTGAGTGAAATGCACTCTCTGACAGCAGGTGGAGCCTATGAACAGGGTTCCCAAGTTTTCGCAATAAAACTAGTCCAATCGCTTTTCGAGGAGGGTTCCCCTGTAAAAATCGCATTCCGGGGGGTAAAATACACGTAAACCACGTCTGATCACAAAAATAAGTTATTTCAAACACTCGACTATGTTATGAAGTTAATATGGAGAAAAAGCATGTCAATAAATTAAATATCTTTGTTGGACAACAGGTTTGTAAACTACTCATACACATGTAAAACTGTCGCAAACGTGCTACTGTAGTACATTTACTCAAGGCTCAGACCGATTTTTGTAGCACTGTACAGCCCTATCCAAACCTGTTCCAGATTGTAGAAGGAGCTGCTCAATTTCACGTCCGCCTTCCTTCACGTCACTCCACACAGTCGTACACAGAAATATGTCAACAACTAGACTTTATCGTTATTATCGCGGGAAGACGAATTCTTATCGTGTGGAGAATTTTTACCGGTATATCGCAAACGATAAGATATCGCCCATCCCTATCGTCCAGAGACATGGTTCCGGATAGGATGGTTTACACTTTGCTTGGCCTAATCTTTCTTTTATGGCATTGCCGCAGACACACAGAAACAAACTCACATGTCTCAAGTGGAGCTGATAAGACATCCGGGCTGAATCAGGGTCAGAGAGCAGATAAAGTTAAAGTGGGTCAGCTGAGGCAGAGGGAACCCACACCTGCTGCTCTCAGGTGGCCTTGTGACTCATGTGACTCTGGGCCGAGGCTGGCTTCATGTTCTGGATCTCTGCCCCCGCCCCTCGTCTCATTCACATGGCCTCACCTTGACTTTTTATTTTTCTGAGAGGCTGAGTTTCACAACATGGTCTGTTTAGCACTACATGTTCCTACACATGGCTGGAGCTGCAGCTTTTGGTGGCGACCACTGACGTCAGTATGGTCCATTAATCGGTTAGTGAGGTTGACCACTGGTTTATCTAGTAGGTTTTTTGTCTTTGATATGTTTTAGTAGATTCTTTTAAAGAAACATCAAAGGAGTTTAGAAATGCACATCCATGTCAGTAACTCTAGCAATACGACATGCTGTGTGTGCTTTAATGTTACACTCCAGTACCTATTAGACTCTCAGTATGCTAAAACTCTTTCCAACATATTGTCTCTAAATTCCTCCTCAAAAGCACCATGGCCACCCTCAGCAAAATGCAGGTTTTATTTAAAAAAAAAAAAAGCAATCATTACTTTTCAAGAGAACTATTGTCAGACGTCAAATTGGCCACAAGAAGCCATAAGGATGCATAATGTATGATTACCATAACAGTTATCAGCCCATATTAGAGACTTTCCTTTCTTTTGTTTATTTTTTATTTTGATGGATATTAGATATTTAATTATACATGCTTAACTTCTTTATTTTTGCATTTAAATGTAATCTTTAGCAAATCTGTTAAAGCAAATAAAAAAATAAAAAAATCATTTTCACTTGTAGCATTTAAAATGATTGGTATTTTAAAGTTATATATTTAGACAAAGTAGTATAGAATATAAGTTACTTCAGCTAAAATTGTTTGTTTGTTTATTTATTTTTGTAATAATTTACTCACCCTCATCATGTCATTGCAAACTCAGATGTTTGTTCATCTTCGAAATGCAAATAAGGATATTTTTGTGTTTTCTGTCCCTCTAATGAAAGTCCATGCCACCAAAAATCAATTAAAAATTGCATAAATAGATCATAAAACAAATCCAAGTCCTCTGAAGAGACAGGATCACTTTATATGATGAACAGATGTAATTTAGTCTTTTATTTGCATATAAACTTTGATCAACAAACATCCATAAAGCAACTATTGAACTATTCCTTTAATATTGGTATAATCTGTTATAATATGAATTTTTTTATCAGAATTATATGAATGATTATATTTATCAGCTTATCAGACAGTTTTATTTTATTTTACTCTTATCAGAGTTGTATTATTGGTGCATCCCAACTTTCACGGTATGCACTAGGGCTGGGTTTTGACACAAATTTCATGATTCGATTCTCATTCACAAGCTTGCGATTCGATTACCAATTCGATTTGATTTGATTCAATATCGATTATTTTGGATGAATATCAGGTACAGTACATGCCAAATGTTCTCAAGGAAAAAAAAATCTCAACTAATGCTCTGTAAAAAAGAGTCAGTTGGTACTACATTATAATATTGAAGGTTAAATTTGACTGATTTGTGCTGTACAACTCAATGAAGTTTTTATAATAATTAAGTTACAATTACTTAAGTTAGTTTTTTTTAAATATACACATTTAAATAGTGGCTGTCATTAGGGTTGCAGAGGGGTGGAAAATTTCTGGTAAATTTCCGGAAACTTTCCAAAAATCCCTGGAATATTCCAAAAAATCCTGGAAAGTTTCCTACATTTCTGGAACGTTTCCGAAATTTACTGGAAATTTTCCACATTTTTGCAACCCTAGCTGTCATAAAAGCTTGGATGGATTTATTTAAACATAAATAAAACTTTAAAGAACAGTAAAAAATTATAATGAATGTTATATGGTGCATATATTTAGCAAAATGCCCCCTACAATTTATTTTTCTGGCTGACTAACGAGTTTATGGTCAACGAATATGCTTTCTGAGGTAAATGTGATGTTACATGAATTGTTTACAAGCTGTTATATTGACGTCTTTGCGCTGCTGAAACACTGATTGAGCGATTACATGAGACAGGATACGGATTGTAGAGTTGTACTCTTTCTTTTAACTTTACTTCGGGTGTTTAGTCATGTTTATTTTGTGCTGAAACTGGTATTAATGTGGAGGAGATGATCAGTTCACGTGCGCCTCGTGCTGTCGCGCGCTGCTGCATCTGTTGAACTGAGGAGCTACAGCGATCTGTCACTCCACATTAAACATGGCCAAAACGGCATTTATTGTTTGAATACTGCATTACAATGGACATAAATTGAAATCTGAGACTGTTTCATATTAGAAGTACCAAAGCACAATGCTTATTGCGATATATTGGGTGTGCTTCAATGTTCCATCCATTAACTGAAAACAGGCTAGAATAATCGATTCTTGGGATTTAGGAATCGATATCGTTTCTTAAAAATGAGTCGAATAAAATCAAGATATCAATATTTTTTTACCCAGCCCTAGTATGCACAGGATAATCCAAAGTTCTCCATTTCTTTTGTGAAGACTGATCATTTTAAAAACTATATTTATTTTGCTGTGAATGTGTCCAATTCGATTCACTGCATTCTCTGTTAAAGTTACTGTGTTTGCCTCTCTGTTTGCATTTGAGATTGCATTATTGTTTCTATGGAAAACTCTTATTTTCTTCTTCCACATCTACACTAGGGATGTGCGCGACGACTAATTTGACTGTCGTTTAAACGAAAGTTTTGTATCCGACTAGTCGACTAGTCTAAAAGCAAGAAACCCCCAAAAGATGGTAAGAAAAAAAAAACCTCTGTGCGTGCGTGTAGCATATATAATAGCCTATATTTGAAATACTTAATCTATGAATCACACTGTCAAATCCCTCAATGAATTCTGCTTGCCGCACACTTGTCTCGCGTTATTTCATTTTAGGTGGTCGTTAAAAAGAAATAAAAGAAGAGCATTCGCTCCAGTGGGGTTATTGTAAGACAATTTGACATTACACAGTTTACACACAACTTTTCCGTTTCCTTCTAATTCGAAATAATCCCACACCTTCTCGTCTTTCGCATGGTCATTTTTGAACTCGCCGCAACTGACATGAAGAAAACGCATGTGAGGTCTGAGGTAAAAATGTAGTTTCCGCCTAGATAAACTTTTAAAAATAATGTATTAATTTTCAAGCGTTTTATTTTAACTTGTTATTTAAAATGTTTTAAATGCAGTGGTAAAATGATGGTAATTTGAATGATAAAATCATGTTTTTGTTTTTGTTTTTTCTGTCGTGTAATCGACTATTGTTTTCAGTGTCGGCTAGTAGGAGCTGTACCGTTTAGTCAACTAGACCCGCACATTCCTAATCTACACGCATCAGTTTCTAGGGCAGGGATAAAATCTCTTCACAGACGTCTGTCCCTCCTTCTCTCTGTCCAGCAATCAAATACAATCCTTAAGGATGTTTGAGAATTGCCTCTCAAATAAGTGTTGAATAAGTGTGTGGTGGGCGGATCCTTTATATAAAGTGCTCTGATTTATGCCGTAGGTTTTGCATTTTAATCCCCGTTTGATTACAGTGGGTAGGAGCATGCTGTGAGAAATATCCGTGCACACAGTGTGTTTTAATTACAGTAGCCACTCTGAGGGAGGACTGTTCTTGGAAAACAAGGCCGTGGGGGTTTATTAAACGGGAATTCTGCGGATTATTAGATTAAAAACAATGGACGTGTTAATAACCTTTGTATTGGTGTGAGAGGCTGATAAGTGTTTTCTCTGTCCTTAGGGGTCATCCTGATGGAGATCTCAGACGTCCATCGGAAAGTCAACATAGAACTGGAGGAGAACGTGAGTGTGTGTTTGTATGTGTTTGTTGCTTGCTGTAAACACATCCTTAGGCTTACCGAAAGCACATTCAAACACACCCAAGCAAGAGATCGCCATCTGCAATTTAATCGCATATCAAACATCCCATTTCCCATAAACTTTATGGACTCTCTCCCGTTGACGTACAGGCAGTCTTATTAGTTTAAACAACAGGAAAGGGTAGAGGAATACAGCGGACACACCTACTGCGTGTTAGATTGTAGTGTTTTTATCAGAGCAGGTTTGAACATGCCTGTTGATGCACCTGATCCCAGTGCCACATGATGACACGGCCGTTCCTGCTGGTGCAGCTGCTGATCTGTGAATCAAAAACAGGACACCCAAAAGAAGACAGGCCGTGTTTAAATGGCTTCAGTCAAATCTGATATCATTTTCACAAACCTGAGCATTCCTGAAATACCTGACAAAGAATTAGAGTTGTGATACCGATACCATTCCTAACCTTTTTTTTTTTTTTGTGGACGATAACTAATGTAATTGCCAAAATTTTGAATCTATACTAGTTTGACAACAGTAAGGTCTAAAACATAAACTAACATATGTCGGTTTTAGTACACTAGCATAATTTTAAGTAGTTAATCTATATAGTATGACTTAAAGTGATAGTTCACCCAAAAATGAAATTTGTGATCATTTACTCAACCGTTCCAAACCCAAAGCTTTTGTATATAAACCCAAAGACTTTTGTTCAACTTCATAACACAAAATAAGACATTTTTATTAATCTCTCATTTTTGTCCATCCACTGCAACTGTAATTTACAAGTTCAAAAAAGTAATCTATATGAATTGTGCAGTTTAATAAAAGCCTTCTAAAGAGATACGATCGCTTTATATGATGAACAGATTTAATTTAGGATTTATTCCGATTATTCCGTCTTAGATGATGCTAGGGTTGGGTACTGAACTCAGTACTTTTAAGGGTACCGACCGAATTGCGTCGGTACTACAGAGTACCGATTCACGTTAAATCAAATGATGCCAAATTTCGGTACCTGAGAACGCATCTGGGCACATGCGCTACAGACAGAGAAAGAGAGACCCTGTGACGTGATGTCACCCCTGCAACTCGTTCAAACAACACACAGGGCAAACCGAAATGTTCTGAAGTGTGGTTACATTTCTAGGGACATATGGTTTCTGAGAAAAAGCGGACGGGCTCGTGGAGTCCATTCATAAGAACGCCACGGAATTCATCAATTTTGGACGAATAAATCAAAAGTAGCCACTGCCACTTAATTCGAATCGCGATATGAACTAGTGTCTGTGAATATTAAAATGCAAAAAGACAGTTTAAATATGAATCCTGCATGTTCCGCTTGCCTATGCTTGCTGTATGTATGAATGGCGGAAACGCGGTTTTGTTTACCAAACAAATACTGAAGCACGCGTGACGCTCGCGGTGATTTT